TCAGCTGGCTAATCAGAGCAGACTGCGCTTGTCAAAGGAGGGGGCTTTGTTGAAAACAACGTGTTTGAGAGAGGCGGGGCATAGAGGACCTACAATAATGTACAGTATTTGAAAAATAATGTGTTTTTTGAACATTAAAGCATGTCAACATATTCTGTTATACCAAATACACAAAATAATGATCTTTAAAATAGCATCATATGACCCCTTTATGAATAATCATATTTGGGGATCCGCAGATCCGCTGCTTCAATAAAAGTATCCCTAGGTGAATATAATAAAAGCAAGGCAGAGTCAACCATAATAGCAGAAAGAGACGCATCAGCTGGCGTATAAAACACAAGGTTGTGAAACAGGGTAACAAAGCACACTCAAGGGCATTTAAAGTTGGCTGGAATAATAGAAAAAAAATGCAAAGCAAAAGCAGCTGTTACACCTGTAATTGAACGAAACCCCTGATGAAACACAGTTTATGGGATCAAAGAGCAAAGCTCTCGTACATTCGTCATGTAGACATGGATGATATGGTAAATAATACAGGAAACAAGAGCATTCTTGTTCAAATAGCCTTTCGCTGGACACGGCTGGTGTGCTTGCATGTACACACAGATGACTGCACATGTGCAAGACTATGTATTTGAAGGAACTGTTCACCCAAAGATGAAAAATTTGTCTTTAATATTTACCCACACTCAAACCAGGAAGACTTTCTTTGTTCACTTCAAACTTCAAACCATTGCATCAGACAAAAATACAAGTCCTCATCCATAATATTGCTTCATCCAATGAAAAAAATCGCCTCATCTGAATCAGGAGAGAAATCTGCACAGATCAAGAACTCTTCACAAGCAAAAACAGTCCAAAACATTCTAAACAAACATGTTGGTGGATTTTGATTAGGGGTGCTCCGATCAGGATTTTTGAGGCCGATCGCCGATCACAGAAAGCAGTATCTGCCGATACCGATCACAGATACCGATCTTTTTAAAGCCTTCTTTTTATCATTTATAACTATTTATAGTGATACTCCAAGCAGGATTTTTAGGGCCTGAATTTCATTTTTGAAAATGGGGG